CCCCCCCCACTTTCCCTCTTAAATCCCCAAGCTCTTTCTATGTGAGTAGTTGGCACATGTTCTGGTGCAGCTTGCATTCTTTTTTCCTATCAGACAAGTAGCATCCTTATCTCCCTCCTTCCCCCTTCTTTTCTTTGTATATTCTTCTCCATTATTAGCACTGCTAACCGTCAGTTCTTTTGACCTATTTGTGTTGCGAGTGCCGTAAAACCGTTAAAATCGATCTATCTATTTATCTATCTGTCTGTCTGTCTGTCTGCCTGTCAGTCTATCTATCTATCTATCTATCTACAGCCAATACCAGGAAGTTCCCGTGATGCCAATGACAAAACAGCAAATTAATTCGTCACCAACAACAGCTTGGTCCATTTTTCCAGAGGAATTGACAATCTAGAAAAACGCTCTTAAAAAGCATGGCTGATTTGAGGACCGAAGTCCTGTAATTTTTTTAAAGAGGCGGGGCGCGACATACAGACTGACAGACTGACTGACTGACTGACTGACTGTCTTGTATTGACTTTATTTCTCCCCGGTTTTTATATATAAATCACTTTCAAAGCATTTCGTTCAATGGGAGTTGGTACAAAGTGAGCCTGAATTTCTATGCATAACATGCATTAAATGTAACAATGTTGGGTTCCAAAGGAAGGTATTTTCAACAGCCTTGACAGCTGTGACATCCCATTCCCCAAGATAAGAAAAGAAAACAGCAACACAAACCTCAAAGTTTTTTTTATCAAAGTTGAAAGGAATTCTCATACAAGATAAGACTCGGTTCACGTTCTCTTTTTAAAGAATGCGCAGGGCGCCCTTTTTGCACTGGATTAATCGGCGAACCTTCCGTTTTCCGATCACTGAATAAGGGTTGAGAGCCAGCAGTCCTTGACTTTCCCAAAATGTTTCTTGGCTTCCCAATCACCAGGCCTCTAGGCCGTCTCCCGTCATGTTTGCTTAGTGGGCTCGGTCACTGGGGGGTTAACGTTAAGCAATCCGGGGCCTCCCGATAAGTAACGTGTGATCAGTGGTTCGCTGACCAATGGTCCTACTGCAGCCACCGTGTGTCACTCTTTCTCTCTCTCTCTCTCTCTCTCTCTCTCTCTCTCTCTCTCTCTCTCTCTCTCTCTCTCTCTCTCTCTCTCTCTCTCAGGAGCGGTGGTATTTGTGCATTGTTGATCAGCGCTATTCCGTAGCTACCCACTAAAAGTCGTTCAAACTGGAGAGGGGTGGATATGTCCTTTTTTCGGCTCTTAAGGGTTAAAGGGAAACAACTCGTGACTTCCTGTAATGTGTGTTCTCTCTCTCTCTCTCTCTCTCTCTCTCTCTCTCTCTCTCTCTCTCTCTCT